GTTCTGTATAGAACCTTTTAGGGGTTCCAAATGATAGAACTGAACCTTTTCTTCTAAGAGTGTAATTAGAGAAAATAGAAGACTACATTTTATTCATTTGACATTGCTACCCCCTTGTGTTCATCATATACATTCCTTCCTAAAAAAATTGTAGGGACATTAAATTTTAGAGGTGTTTCAACATCTACAAGAAATATACAATTGATTTAAGATACTCTGTAAACGTATTTGTAAATTAAATTTAAACTAAATAAAATATAACTATGCAATGTTACTTAGAGACTTGTTATCGCAACATTTTGTGCCAGTGATCAGTATTTGATGTTCTATAATTGCAGTGAATAAAATTAAATGTTTAATTAAATGTTAAAGCCTACCTTCAGTTCATTTTATTAAAATATTTAAAGTAAATTTTAAGTGTATTTTTAAGCTTACCTTATGTAGTAAGTACACTAATATCATTGTGCTATACTTGTTTCAATACATGGGGCTAAATTGGTCCACTTGCATGTACTTTTACACTTTAAGACAGTAGAAAACCTTGAGTACAACTACTTTACAACTACGTTTTTCGTTTGTACCGTATACTATACTACAAGTGAACTTTGTCAAATCTCATGAAAGTTCATATATATAGCACGAATGTCATTTCTCGTGCCATTTATATGCCAAAACTAGTTTTTGCGTGTATATGGTACGCGTTTTTCGCGTGCATATGATACGCACTTTTTGGCATATAATAAGTATGAACTCCCCACCCCCTTCCCCCTAAACCTAACCAGTGGGTTTTCAGTGCGTAGCATATGCATGCAAAAACCATTTTTGGCGTATAAATGCCACAAGAAATGACAATCGTGGTGTAGATACGCACTTTCATAAGACTGTGTTTCAAATACTTGTAGCATGTTTTTTTTTTTTTTTAGTTTACGAAAGTACACTTTGAGGTAGGCCTATGCTTTCTCAATAATTTACTAGTCTATTAGTTTTATGCAAGTAGTACATATTATTTTAAGTGGCCATATACAGTAGTTCACTTTCACTATTTATTATTTTTGCACTTTTAGTTACTACTATGGTAATGGTTTCATTCGGTAATGTTGTTGTGATATGCTAGGCTAGTATAGGCTAAAAACTTTTATAAATTCGTGTTGAACAGTTTTTCAATCTATTAAGCTTTTAATTGTGGCTAAATCCTGCTCTTGGTGGGCCAGCATCCAGCAGAGGAAAACTCTCAATCAGAAGTGAGAATGACACCCTACTCCTACTGTAACCTAATGTGTTACATGCAATCGACACAGTTTACCCTGAACAGACATATTTAATTGAGAGGGAAACCCATAATAAAGAATACCTTATATCAGCCTCTGTCTGACTCTATGACGCTTCTATGGCTCTTAAAGGAACATACCCCAGAACATTACACTTCTCCCTCCAAAGGCCAGAGCCCTGGTGACCTCGAGTGGACCAAACTGTGTCTCAAGATGTGTGTCCCACCACACACCGGCAGTTAAAGGGAGCAATGAAACATTTCACGTGCAAAAGGCCGGCGTCACGTGACCCCTCGGATTTGTGAATGCATGCAGTTTCCAAAAGACAAAAAAAACAAATTACACTCATCCTCTCATTGGGTCCTCAGGACTTTTGTCACACTTGAACTTGGAATACACACACACACATAAAATAAAAATAAAATGATAAAATTCTGGCACAATCAAGCAAAAACACACACACAAATGAAGGCGACATCCTCAATGCATAACACGCTCACATGCACACAAACACATGTACATGTACACACACACATACCAAGACATTCCAGCATTAAAAAGAATGGGGGGGTCATTTAACAGGGGCAATTTTTCTTTGTAACACTTTGCACTAAGATATTATTTGTCAACATTAGTTCTTGTATTAACTAATATGATATAATGAGCAATATTGTTCCTGTATTTGTTAATCTTTGTTAATGTTAGTTAAGAAAAATCCAGCTGTTCATTGTTTGCTCATGTTAGTTCACAGTGCATTAACTAATGTTAACAAATAAAACCTTTGATTTTAATAACGTATTAGTAAATGTTGAAATTAACATTAACAAAGATTAACAAATGCTGTAAGTGCATTAGTAATGCATTAATGTAACTGTTAACTAACGGAACCTTATTGTAAAGTGGTGCCTATTTATTTATTTATTTATTTATTTATTTATTTATTATAGAAATCAGTCACAATGCTGACTGCACGCAAATATGAAGTGGATAGATTTTAATATATTTACAATTGCAACTTTTAAGGTCCCCTCAAAATCATCTGAGATATAGCACCCCCAATGGGCCAAAAATGCAAATTCTCCTTTTACTGTATTGTAACATTTGGCAAATTCATGGGTCCATAACTTCAAAATGTTATAGTAAAAATGTCTAAAATTGTGCATGGTGACAGTCAAGCACACTGGGTATAAATCCCCAGTACAACTTTAACACACTCTCAAAGTCAGCTGAGATATAGCGCCCCCAATGGGCCAAAAATGCAAATTCTCATTTTACTGTATTGTCACATTTGTCAAATTCATGGGTCCATAACTTCAAAATGTTACAGTAAAAATGTCTAAATTTGTGCATGGTGACAGTCAAGCACACTGGGTATAAAGCCCCAGTACAACTTTTAACACACACACAAAGTCAGCTGAGATATAGCGCCCCCAACTGAGCCAACAATGCAACGGCTCTTCTAACTTTACTGTCACATTTGTCAAATTCATGGGTTCATTATTTCAAAATGCTACAGTAAAAATATCTGAAATTGTGCATGATGATTGTGAAGTGCACTGGATGTAAAGAACTAGTGAAACTCACCCAAAAGTGATAACTCTTCAAAGTGTATTGTCAGATTGGGTTCATAACTTCAAAATGGTACAGTAACCAACAATGAAATGCTTCTTTCAAGTCAATTCAATTTAATGCATTCATTTGTATAACATTATTCAATACATATCATTTCAAAGCAGCTTTACAGAAAATGGAGGTTTCTATAGGCTGTAACAAAACCACAATAGAATTTTATAATGATATCAGAAAGTACAGTTATAAGATGTGTTATGTATATGAAGTCTATGCACAAATTATAGTATTTACAAGTTTTGCAGTCTTCACCATAAGAGGCTGGATCCAGCCAGAGCATAATTTCAAGTACCTTGTAAAATTGAAATTTGTACTAATTTAAAACAAAACAAAAAATCATTCAAATGATGTCATGTGCAATAATTAAAGAATAATTTAATTATATTTTTTACAGTCATGCTATGTGTTATTATTATTATTATTTGTTATTTACTTTTCAAATCAGTTTTTAATTTTCAAAATATGAAGAGTTCAGATGCAAAAGCCTCTAAGTGCCATTTGAAATTTTCTTCTAAAATGACCATTTTTATCAAGCTTGTATATTTAAGTTCAGTAATTTCACTTAAATGACAATGAAGATTACCTATAAATTGTCATTTAAGTGAAATTACTGAACTTAAATATACAAGCTTGATAAAAATGGTAATTTTAGAAGAAAATTTCAAATGGCATTTAGAGGCTTTTGCATCTAAACTCTTCAATATTCTTTTCTGAAAATGGAGAAACGGAGAGATTTCCTTGAAAACCACTCACGTCATTTATGTCAAATTTCATCATCACATACAGCACGCAATGCCTATCAGACCTATCAGAAAACATTTCTTCTTTACATCAAGCCGTTTTAAAGTTTGAATGTGGTTAGTGAATTCTTTCGTGCAGTACTTTTTTCAACTGACAAGTTGTATTAATGTTTTCATGTGCCATTGTAATAATAATATGGAAGGTGTATTAGTACTGCAACACATCCAGAAGTGTGTAATATAAGAGTTTTTTTTCAGTTTAAGTGTAAAACGGGTTTAACTGGCAGGGGGCGCTGTCGGGACGGTGTGTTTCAACCGTCCCGACAGCGCCTCCTGCCAGATAAATCTGGTCATAGGAAAACTGCTGTAAATGTGTATTAAAGAGATAACATACATGGGCAAAAATTGCGGCAAAATTTAAAGGTTCATATTAACCATTTTTGTTCTGTCGCCCAATAATGATGATAATGGTGATAAGCCATGCGCATTTTGCGTGCTCTTTCTAAAATGCTATTTTGACAAATCCAAATTTTGGATGTGTTTCAACCGTCAGGCGGGACGATTGAAACAAAGCAAGTGCTTTGTTGTCAAAGAATCCTAAAGGATTCCAATAAGAAAATTGTACAGGATTCTAATTAGAATTTCTATCATATTTTGGAACCATTCCTATAGGAATCTGATAGAAATTGTCTTATAGGACTATACATAAATATCCTATAGGATTCAAATAGAAATTGTCTTATAGGACTATACATAAATATCCTATAGGATTCAGATAGAAATTGTCTTATAGGACTATACATAAATATCCTATAGGATTCGGAATTTCCTTTTTTTTCTTTTTATCTTTTCAAGCATTTTTAAGTTCTATAGGTGCACTTTTCCAAAGTTTTTCTTTTACCAATAGAAGTTTTTTGATTGTGTCTTGCAGTCTGCGTAAACTCACCTCAATGTAGACATTGTTCACTGTTTAATGTATGTTTTGCAAACTGTAGTCACACTATAAACAACATGGCAGGTGATTTGGGTACACATTATTAGTGCACACATTTATAAGGCACTGATAATGGATTGATGAAATAAAAAAACAAATCAATAAATGCATTTTCTGTATTTTATTTATTTATTTCTACTTTCATACCAAATTAATCTGTTACTTTTTTTTTACAGATTATATTCATTACAGACTTACAAACTCTGACACACACACACACACACACACACACACACAACAATAACTGAAATACAACATTAAAAATATCCTGAGCAAATCTGTCTGATTCACACAAACTCGCACGCACGCACACACACTTACTATGAAATACAGCATTAAACATCCTGAACAAATCAGTTTGATTCAAACTCACACACAATCATTGTGGCGCCTTTTTGACATTTTGCTTTCATCTGCGCATTTCTGGGAGATGGCCTTCTTAATTACATTTGCTTCAATATTAAATTTGTTTTTGATGTAGCCTGTAAGGAAAGAAATAAACAGAACATAAGTTTACAAACCATAATGATTATTGAGGAATGGTTTTGGGCATCTATGTTTAAAATAGAACTCCTCAAGGGAAGCATGTGCTTATATTATTCTTCAGTATTACATACTAGGGATTAGGATTGAGAGAAAAAAAAATCGATTCACCTATCGCAGTTTTTTTTAACGATTCTAAAATCGATATTAATTCAAATTCAATTGCTTTATTTTTGTCCTTGCTTGTAGATAAGTTTAAAAGAAGTTAGCCACTTTCAATCCAACAGAGGATGAAATGTGTTGTTATCTATGTGTGTTGTGACGTAATAAGTGGACGCGTGGAAGACGTGTGACTACGGCCCCGTTCACACTGCAGACAAAAGTGGCTTGAATCTGATTTTTTTGGGGTCAAGTGACCAGGTGACCAGGTCAGACTTCTTCAGAGATAGTGTGAACACTCAAATCTGGCCCAGATCTGATCTTTTTAAATCAGATTTAGACCACATTCATATCATGTAGTCCTAAATCAGACACAGATCAGATTTTTTTCAATGTGTTTGCAGTGTGAACAACAAAGGCGGATTTAATGCGACTCTGACGTCAATCTACATCTGACATTTGACACAATTATGTGCCGGCGAGTAAGCACTAGACTAGGGGTGCACGATATTGACAAAAATGTGATATTGCGATATCGATAATGAATATTGCGATATCGATATTAATTTCGATATTTTTAAACGGATGAAAAAATACAAAAGTTATTGGAAAACGCATCAAAAAGATTAATAAATAAAACAAGTTTTCTTACAACATAAGATTTATTTCAACTGACAGTCATATTGGACTGGTACAGCATTAATAAATAGGCCTAAATAATATGTCAACAGGACATGTTAGTTGTGTACACTACACTGTAAAAGATAATAAATAAATAGCAAGTCTACAGAACACACTATGCAACATAAACCCCACTATATGCGTTTTCTTTGACCGAATAGCTATCTGATCGTGAAAAGACCAGGTGTAAATGCCCTGTGAAACGCATTCGTGACGTATTTGAATCTAATCGCTCAAACCACTTCAGGAGGCGGTCTGGGCCGCATTTCAGTTGAAATTGGACAAATGTAAATGCATCTCGTTACTGAATAAACCACATATGTAAAATGTACTCCTTCCAAAAACGCTAAAAATGAGAACGTTACAGGCTTGTCATGTTATGGCCAGATATGACGACGAGCGCGACTGCAACACGCATCACCGCAGATGAGCAGCTGTTGAACATTTCCTTTTCATCAAGCCAACGCGCAAACTATCGCAAATCAAAGTGAAAGTAAGTCGCAGACGCTTTTCACAGTTATTCATTAAAAGTAAATAAACGAACTGATCTTATTTTACCTGATGATCATAAAACGCAGCTCATAACTGTTGACGTGACGGTGACGTGTAGAATTGAAGAATATAGCGCGGGAATTGAAGATCGTATTTTGATAAATCAGATAGCTATCCGATCAGTGAAAACGCATGAAGTTGCCAGGTGGACCGTGGCCTGATGTTTATAGGCTACTTGTGCGCTGGTGTGCGCGTCGAGCCGGGGCAAGTGTGTGTGTGTGTGTGTGTGTGTGGGACTGTGTGGCAGGAGAGCAAGGGAGAAGTGAGAGAGTGACGGCGGTTAGCTTTGGAGCGAGTAGCGACTTTATATTGAGAAAAACAAAGTGTCTCTCCTGTTCTTTCTGACCACTGTGGGAAATCTGTAGCATGAAAAGTTAAACCTCTCTTGATTTAATATTGTTTATGGAGAAGGAGAATCAGGAAATGAGTCGGGGGAAATGCAACGGTGCATGACGGACCAGACGCATCATAAACAAAATAATGCATAAATATCGCGACACTTTCGATATGGATATCGAGCTACGTGATATCGCGATAACGATATTGATTCGATATATCGTGCACCCCTACACTAGACACAGAACGGGGCCTAAAAGCACTGAAAAGCCCTTGCGCTACTCATATGCAGAGAGAGAGATAAGACAGTAGAGCTGCACGATTTATCTTTATAAGACTGTGATCTCGATTCAAACACCCACCTGATCTTTCAATTCATCTAATCATATCACAACATTCAAAACTGTGTTGGCGCTGACCAGGAGAGAGTCATCATTAAAACAGCTTCACAAACAGTCTTTTCAACCTCATAGTATCATTATTTCTGTGATGCAATAGTTTCAAATTATCATAGAAGTACTGGGATAAAAAGTTCAAATATGAACACCGATGTCTACGATAGTGATAGAAACTTTGTGCTTAAAATAACGCATTTATCGGTTACATTGTTTCGCCACTAAGTAGCAACAAGTGACTGTTAAATGTTTTTATTTAAATATTAATATCAGCTGAGGAGGGAAACGGAGGCAGAGTTAGTGGTGCGATCGGAGGCTGCTATGGAGATGAATCGGGAGAGGTTTGTGCACCTACTGATCAGAGCGCGTGCCGACACGGAGTAAAGCCTTGTTTATAGGCTCCTCCACACGTCCACACGACCGCGAATGTGCGCAAGACCAGGAAGACTGTGGCTGTGTACGCCTTTTTTGTAACAGCGCGTGGGGTGCCGCGTCCGGGATGAACGACTTCAAGCCGAATCTGCCCGAGCTTGTACGTCTCACCACACCGGCCCCCAGTTTGCGCGTCTAAATTGCAAATTTTTTTTTTTAAGAGTTTATTTACTGTGTGTGATTCATTTAATGGATAGCACATTCACTTCTAGTTGTCTTCGTCCTCTATTCCGCAATGTTTCGGTCTCCCACGTGTGTGTGGCAAGCTGGACCGCCGGGAACATGCAAAAAATAAATAAAGAAGCATCGACGCAAAAATATGACGTCGACGCAATTTTGACGTCGAAGCATCGACGCGCCACTACAGCACTACCAAACTGCTAGATTTAAATAGTCAGCAACAGCCACTGCAGTTTTATCTGTTCACACAATTTGTATTAAATGACTTGCTAGAAAAAAAAATTACAGCACGCACAGATCTATTTTTAGTCGCAAATGCAAGTGGAATGCAGTGTCGAGCCCTGTTGCTCTAAAGTATAATGCTCTAAAAAAGTACTTTTCTAAATTCCTGAGTATAATTATATCCTGTTGTTTTATATATCTAATAATATGACAATCCTGCCAAAACTTGATTTTCAGGAAAATAAACTCACCAATTATGTCAGACACTTTTTGAGCCTCCAGTTGTGGCTTTGCTATTTTGTCTTTGAAGGCATTAGAACTTTTTCCTGTGTAGCAGTGTGTTGCCAGTGTTGCTCTTCCAAAAACAGCCACCAGGAGGTCTTTTGTTGCTTTTTTAGCTTCGGTCCATTTAATGTGGCCAAACTGTTCGGCACCGATGGATGTGTTGGGGCCAATTCGAACCTGAAAACAGTGATCGAACAATGAAACAGTTAAAGTGTTAAAGTGAACTTAATAATATTTTGTTTGTTATGATGAAACCTATTAGCGTAGATTTAGAATCATTCAAGAGCAAAAGTTCCTGATTGTAGAAAGCACTATTTTTTGTCAGCCATGATTAATTCATTCTGTGAGTGGACTAAATTACGATAAGACACCCCAGGTGAATAGGGTAAAAAAAAAATATATATATATATATATATATATATATAGATTCATAGATATAGAGGAAATGCTATGATGTCACTTTCCTGCTGTGAATAGAAAATTTAGATAGGAGAAACCAATGCTGCCGCTTTTTGCCACTCAGTGGGTGTGACCACAGTCAATCTAGGGCCCTATCATTTCTGCGTTCACGGAATCGTGGACGTATTTGCAAAATTGCACGTGACTTTTATGCAGTGTTTCCCACACATAGACAAATTTGCTAAGCCACAGAATCAACACTGGCCGCCACATAGCCTATTGCGTTTCGTTCATTTTAACGCTATTTAAAACACAGTGTATTCTTTCAGTTGCATTTCTTTTCCCTGCTCTCCCTCCGTCTCTCTCGGAAGTTTTACCTTTCACTAATCATATTTTGATATATCGAAATCATCTTCCATTGTGATTTCCTGTATATCTAAATATGTTTAGATCTTCACACACAGTGAAAGGTAAAACTTCCGAAATCTCTGAGTAAACAATGAGTGACGTACATGCACAAGCAATCACTACCAGCGGAACGTTGAACATGGTTCAGTTGGATATTGAACAACTGATTCAGATCAGTTGGACGTGACTGTGGTTACAATAGGTAAAAACTAAATAAATACTGTTCGTTTTCTCACAAAAACCGCTTGTTTCGTGTCTTAGGCCTTCAATATGTACTTACATTTACGAGTCATTAAATCATGTTTAATCTGGACTTCTCTGTGCATGCTCTTTGACGTGGTGACCATAGACCTGCATTATATGGCCGACAGACAAGAACGGTTTGACCGAAAAATGTCAAAACTGAAAATACTGTGGAAACAAAGACACCTACATCTTGGAGGCCCTTGAAGTAAGCTAAAACATATCAAAAATTAATTTCAAAGTGAACTATCCCTTTAAGTACTCAGTACATTTTAATAATTAACTTTAAAAGGACACTCTTTTTACGACTAAAACAATAAAGGGTAAAAAATCTGAATTTGGTAAAAAATAAAAACGTATTTCATAGGGCCCTGCCGATGGTGACGTCGCACGAAGACCCTCTGTTGACATACTTCTCCAAATAATTGATTACATTACTTGCAAACATTTTTGTGATAAAAGTTTTCTGAAATGTTATGTTTAAATATGCACTAATTTGCATATCTCTAGAACAAAAGTAATAAAATTAATTAAAAAAAAACATTGGATGAACCCCAACTTTATTCTCATCAGAATTATAAATAATTTATTTCTGTATAAAATACTACAAACGCATTTGATTTTCTTGATGTGTAACTTAAAAATAAACAGATTAGTGCTCTGTTTTGAGGACAAGAAATGAAAACCAATGCAATATGATGAATGTCCAAAAGATGGAACTCTGAAACGACCACCTAGTGTTCAGTAGTGTTCATGACATGTTGATATGCCTTTAACCTGTTAACATCCGCTGTTTTGACATGTATGTGAAGCGTGTGCTTAACAGAAAGAAAGCAAGTTAAGAACTAGTGATTCACGTAAATGACCCAATTGACCAAGAAAATGGCGATTGTCGGCGAAAAGTTTGATGGTCTGTTATGTTGTTTACTTTTGTTCCATTAAAGTCTCATATAATTCTGTCCATTTTACAAACCGTAATCTGTATCACCTCTCATGTAAATGGCATTTTTGGTTTTTCTATGAAAGAGAAAAAAGGCTGAACCGAACACATTCTAACAATTCTGACTTCTTTTAATATATAAACTCCAGTGGGAAACACTGAATCATAATATACATTTTTGACAAAACCATGCAGCCCTAGTAAGAAGGCATTTTGCATGTTGCTTAAAAACGATACCTTTTTGCAGTCATTATTACTCCTAGTCTCCTTTACATGAAGAGGCAGTAGAGAGGAAGGGGCAGGTACCACAGGGGAAGACTCTGGGGCTGGCAAATCCGAAGTGCGTGCAGGGAGAGTGTGGGCAGGTGCAGTCATTAATGGAGTGCATCCTAGAACAAAATAGGTTTTAATATCTTTTGAAGCAATTACTTAGAAAAATTAAACTTTTCATAGGTTTACCATTTTTTAAAAGTGTTAGAGTTTCCACAAGAACACTCTTAATCTCTCTTAACTCGGCCAAGATTTGTTGATTGACTCCACTGTCATTCCTTGTTGATGTTGTTGCCTCCCTGCTTGATTCCTAAAATTGTAAAACATTTATTAAAACTTGCTGAAAATGAACTCAACATCAAACCATCCAAGATGTAGATGAGTTTGTTTCATAATTTGTAACAGATTTTGAGAAAATTAGCATTACATCATTTACTCACCAATGGATCCTCTGCAGTGAATGGGTGCTGTGAAAATAAGAGTCTTGTGAGAACTTTAATAGTAGATTTAATAAGTATATGTAGTGTTTTATTTTTTATATTTGTTCATTTAAATTCTTTCTTGTATGCTATTGTTAAATACATCTACTGTTGCTAGAAAACAAAGCAGTGGGAAGAATGAGTCTACAGTAGGGATGTCAACGATTAATTGACGATCGATTAATTGTCAATGAGCCTTTTAATCGATAAACCTTATCCATGATCGATTAAGCGTGACGTGCGTACAGCAGACGAAAGGGGGAAATGATAGCGAGCATGCAAGAGTTTTGTTTGAGATCATTTTATTTCAAATGTTGATAATGTTAACTGCAAACATTTTGATTGTGTTTTAAACTATAACACGACAACTAGTACTATGATATATCACTTACAGAAAGTACATTCAGCGGTCTCCGGGACAAGAGGATTTGAACAATCGACACAGCCTACAATTACTTCAGTTTTAGCCGGGAAAAAAGTTGGAGCTGTAAAAGGCAGAAGCAATTACAGAACGAATCTATGAAATGATTTCAAATGACTTGTTGCCTGTAAGCGTCGTCAAAGGTGGGGGATTTCGAAAGTTAATCAAAAAATTTAAATATGTTAAATTATTTGTTAGCTTTAAAGTGTAAATGGGCACAAATATACGTATTGTAACTTTGTTTTACAAGTAACAAACTGTTGAATGTGTTTTGGGAAAATGATATTAAAATAAAAGTTTTATTTGAAAAAGAAACTCTAAATCCTGAGGTCTTCTTAGCAGGCCTTATGGGCATTTAAGTAAACGTGGCCTTTTCACATTCTGTAGACTTTCCCCAATATGCACAACATTAAGGAAATGTCCTAGCACATGTGGGAAGATAACAACACACTTATTACATTAACAAAAACTAATTTGCTGACATTGACACACGCATCACGGATTGACAGAGCGCATCTGCGACGGCGTAATATTAATATTTGATAATTAAATAATTATATTAAATGATCAATCTTCTAGCTGTGTATTTACATCAAACCTTTCCTCTGGGCGAGGATGCTTGTGTTTTTTGAATGCCATTGCACAGTCTATCACGCAGCAGCAGACCCATCTTGCAGCATATTGTATACTAGTTAACGATTAATTCATTAATTGATCATTAATAGGGCTGTTTTCGACTGAGGATTTTCATAGTCGAATCTGATTCGTCAGATTTTGCCGTAGTCAACTGATAGTCTAACCTTTTTTTTTTTTTTTTAGGTCTTAGCAGTTATATTTTTTCCATTTTAAACAAAAGAGATGGATGTATGCACATTAGGCTATTCGTTCTGTGTTTTTTTCTAAACAGTTAGGCTATGTTTAGCTATTTTTCATGTTTTTATCACGCAATCATGTTTTTGATGCGGTGGTGAGCTTGTAACTTGCAACTTAACACTTTAGCCTAAGGGTAGCAGCGGGGCTGCCGAAAATAAAAAAGCTGTCACAAAGAACAAATATAGCAAGGAGACATTTTAATTGTTTACTAAAGATGAAGTTGACGATGCTGCGCGATCTTAGTGCATACGCCAGAGAGAAATCCACAGTTCATTTCATAAGCAGAGAGCATTACGTTTTCTTTCGTTTTGAATCGTTCTATTTACAAGTATAGACATTTCAATATAGATATGTTTCAGGTCTGTGGAGTAGACTATACTTGTAGCGTACGCTCAGTTGTGGTAGATATATGTATGTGACGAGTTCCAGACGTTCACACATCGGTGCCTCCGTGCCTTGATTATCAGTAATTGTCTGCTTTTCCTTCTTCTTTATTAAATCCAGACAATTGGTTGATGAAACATTAATTAAAATCAAGAAAGAAAAAAAAAACGAAATTCACTTTAAAGAAAGGCTTTTTGCTTTTTTTGAGGTCTGTGAAAGTTTTAAAACAGTCTTTAAGTGCTGCTTCAGAGAGCTTGTGTCCGTCGGAGAACTGTCACGTCTGTAACATTGTTTTTTCCTCTGTGAACATGAAAAATAATATTTTATGTTTTGTGGAGAGCCAACCCTACCTCATCTGATTTGAGCAGTGTAATTCACAGAATTACAAAAAAAATATTTCGCCTCCTAAAACTTGAATGCCTGAATGCCTGTCTATTTCAGGCTAAATATAAAACGCATGTAGGCTATACCGTATTTTCCGCACTTTAAATAAGGCGCACCTTCAATGAATGACCTATTTTAGAACATTTTTCATAGGGTGCACCGGATTATGAGGCGCATAAGATACTGCAGTCAAACGTTTGACTGGGTTTGCGTTATGCATCCACTAGATGTGCTGGGAATATAGCGAGTGCGCGGCGCCGGAGGTGAGGCGTTAATTGTGTGTGAGCGCGCTGGGGCGAGCACGTAACTTACATTCGCAGCCTGAGTAGGCCTATTCAATGTGCGGCGGGTCGCTGATCGCAACGGCTGGCTATTTTGAATGAGACGACCAGGTTACTGTGAATGGGGAGCGCTTTATGAACGTGACGCGCGAGCAGTGCCGGGGACAGTGTGTCTGTGTCTGTTAAGAGTGAGTGGTCGTGAGCGGGAGACACACATAACCTGATTTATACGAGGTTGAACAGGCCGTGTACTATTTGACTACAACGTTCATAGTCGAATCAGACCTCTCCGAATCGAATCGTCGAATCCTCGACTATTAGAAGTCAGCCCTAATCATTAATTTAAACGACGATCGATCATGCAAATTTATGTAAATTGACATCCCTAGTCTAGAGCCCTGATATAAGTAACTTTGTTGAAATAATCTTACTTTTTCTCGATTATACTGATGCAGAAAGGATCTGGCTCTTATTCTTTTGATGTTTTTTTCAGAAACTTGTTTACTGACTGCCTGTAAATAAATGAGAATTGTACAATTACAATTATAACCTTCAAATTAGCTGATAGTGGCAATTATCTGGGTCTAAGCAACAATAGCTTATCAGGTTTCGACATTACATATTGTCATGTCATGTGCTTGTCCTTCGGATGCCATTCTTCTTATGATGTAACGAGTACATCAGGATTTAAGGGACGTGTTCCCTGTTCTGGCTGACCTAATCTATGCAGCCTAACATTGAATTATAGAAGTCTATAGTGTGTTATGTGTATGCTAGGGCAAAGAGATGTGTTTTTAGTCTAGCTTTGAACTGAAAGAGTGTGTCTGCTTCCTGGAAAATATTAGGAAGACTGTTCCAGAGTTTTGGTGCTAAAAATGAAATGGATCTACTGCAGCACTTTTTATATTTAATAAACAAGGAGTTATGTAAGGGTTAATGCCCGACGAGGTGTCCATTGTCAGGTTTTAATGGACGACGGCGAGGCGTAAACCGGCCGACGCGCAGCGGAGGACGGTTGCCTCCGCCGAAGTCCATTAAAACCTGACAATGGACACCTCGGAGGGCATTAACCCGCTTATACCATGGTCACTTGCCAAATAAAACATTTTTAAAACATTAGTTTATATTTTAATTAGGCTAAATCTAGTTTTTACAAATAATAACTTGCCTTGCCTGACTGTTTATTTAGCAACCGGAGATATTTATAGTCCGCTTAGCTCGTATCCCTTCAGGTTCACAAATGCTTTTTTTTTTTTTCATGAAACACAAAGGTAGGTAGGCATAGTTTTTTTTTTTTATTACACATAAAACAATTAATCAAACAACAATAAAAAAAGCTCCAGCGATTTGCGCTTAACGTTATGGGCAATAAATTAATCAGATCAAAGAGAGGGTCATTTGCCTCAGGCTCCTTAGGCTTGAAACGCTGTAACGTTCAGCCTTCTCCTGCCTTGGTTGTCTGGACAGCTGCGTAAAACTCCCGCAGGGTCTCTCTCATTCAGGGGTGCGTTTCCCGAAAGCATCGTTATCCAACTATGGTCGCAAGTTACGTCGTTACCAATAGCGTTCAATGGAGCAGAGCAGCAGCGGTGTAATTTTCTCCGTTTTATTTACATGTTTTCTTTCTTATTGCAGCATACCAGTCGTCAAAGTTGCCATATTCTCCATAAATGTTAAAAGAAATAGCACGAAGTCGCTCATTGTTGTATTAGGCTATAATATCTAACGTTAGATGATAGAGCATGTGACTGCCTGTTGCTATGGTTACTCACAGCCGTTTTAGGCAGCGCATTTATTTATTAATTTCGAATGGTAAACAGGCAGTTTCACCAGAACTACTTTACTAGGTGTCCTCTATCACTTTTTAACGGACACCCTGCAGCCAATCAGAATCGAGTATTCACCCAGACCATGGTATAATATTGTGTTAGATATTAGACAAAATGGTGTTAGGGTTACCACAAACCACATCATCCTAATTTACCTCATATTCGTCACTGCTTTCTGATTCAGAAAGTATTCTTCTATACTTCTGGCGCCTCCCTCTCCCTAATTCTTCATTCCCTTCAGGTCTGGATTGTTTGATGGACTGATTTTTCTCTACAGAATGAAGCTGCTTAAGCATGGCCGATCTAGTTCCTGAAATGATAACTAATTATCACAACATGCATCAATTTTATCACAGTAGTGCACAGACATATTACAAAAAAATACATGTTTAGAATTTTTGCAGGGCTGGACTCTTCCTCGTACTGGACATCACATACACCACCAATCTCACACTTTCCATTAATAATTTTATCAGTTGAAAGCACATCCCATGTTGGGGGATCTTCAATCCACTGGATTAACATAAACCTCATTTTCTTAATAGGATAAAAAGAAAATAGACAATATTCTGTCAATTATATGCGTTTGATATGTAACAAAGAGTGTTTATCCAAATATAATATGCTTTAATGTTTAATGTAAAAAGAAATTAATGTTTTATAGATGTATTAATCTCTTGTTAAAGTTTTGTTCGATCTGGACCTCAATCAGGCTACGCACCAGCCGGTGATCTAGCCGTGTTGTTGCGTGCCTGTGCGAGTCTCGTACATTATGACAACTGCTTGCTTTTAGGAGAGTGTCACGGTAGACGTTTTCTCTGTTTCCTCCTAGTCTTGTGTTTGTGTTGTTGTATGAATGCACGTGTGTGAGAGGTGTGTCTGTATGACATCACCTGATCCGCTCCAGCTGTTCATCATCACATCACCAGCTGCAGTTGATCATCACCACTTTATTTATACTCACCGCTGTTCTTTCATCCTTGTCAGATCGTTGTTTCATGTGGTTCGTGTTGGTCTACCGGTGTCGAGTTCCTGCCTTGTGTTCCCGTGTCGTCGTCTGGATTCCAGTATTCATCGTTCGTCTCTTCACCGTGTCTTCACTTCACCTCACCACGGATACTGACCATCTTGTCCCTGCGTCACTCTCTCCACCTGTTTGCACTGCCGACTCTGTGAGACTTTAATAAACAGTCAACTTGCTCTTGCTTCCTGTCATTCGTTTATATCCCGTGACAGAGAGATATGTTCAAGCCAAGGTCCAAGAACACAAGTTATTTCTCGTGTATATTGCGATTTTTATAGTGGATTTAGAACAGATAAGGGTAATTTCCCTCCAAAATGATGTTTAAAACTGTCACTAAGCAACCAGCAACAGAAACGTAACGTACGTCCGAGGCCTAAGTTAACCGACAGTCACTGATGAAGCCCATTGTTGATGTTAGCTACAAAAATAACGTTTAAGAAATTACTTAAGTTTCTACATATGGTGTATATCTGCTCAAAAGTTTCTACGTATGATGTAAGTAGTTGATAAATGTAAGACCGCTGAACATTATATAATTATATAGCGAAAAGCAGATGACTAACTGACCACACAAGTCTTAAAATGTTAAGAAAAAAAATTTAGGCAGGTTTACACATAAATATTTTTAGATTGTGTCAAATGTTAATATAAAGAAACTTTAAAATATGTTACTTACGATTGTTCGTCACAGCTCGTCGTCTTCACGAAAGTATAACGATCGTCTCCTCTGACCGTCACCGTTGCGCTGCAGTGCCACTGCCAGTGAGCAAGGATGCGCATGCGCAATTGAATGTTCATGCCAATGTGAGTAGGGGGCGGTGCTTTGAATGAATATACAACTTATTTTCCATTCAGTTTTTATTATGTTGACTTTCTAACGCCAAGATTTTGTACTATTATCATTATTATTATTCACATGCAGTATGTTATACACATATTTAATGTTTCCACAACAGTGACCACAAATGATTCCTCTAAACAAGAAGATACCCACATTGAAATGAATGTAAAACAACGAGGCCCTTACAAAAGGTACCCTATTTTTACAGCTTGAAGCTGAGTATAGATATTCAAAACATTTGAAATAATTAATTAGTAAATTTAAAATATTAATGTTATTATTTTTCATAAACTATTTTTCATAAACATTGTATATCTACAATGTTCAGTTATTTACATAATTATTTGTGTATTTTACTGCAACAAGTGCCAAAAAATCACAAAGCTTTGTACCATTTTGATTTTTCAACTAAGAAATGAACATTGTTATGCTTTTTATTGATACTGTGAAGCTTCTTTGATGCAATTTATATTGTGAAAAGTGCTATATAAATATACTTGAAGTAAAAATAGAACAACTTCAAAACACGAAAATGACTGAAAAGTACCAGAGGGTTAAATAAAAATGATATCTCATATTGCACTGTCACTTGTTAAAATAGTCTTTGATATTACTAGATTTTTGGATCCAGAATCGAGTTGCCCCCTTCCAAAGACAAGTCGATGGCGAACAAACAACACTCCTCAAAACAATTGGGATGATCTTACCCATCAGAATGAATCCCCTGCAGACAGTGAGGAAGACGAGGAGGAATTTTATGATTCTGTTGATGAAATGGACCATGGTGAAGATGAGTGGAGTGACACTCAGGGAGAATTTGACTCTACAATGGATGACACTGCTGAAACAAATTCTGATTCAAATTCACAATTTGAAAAATCTGGTGCCCCTCTTTACACAGGTTCAGAGATAACAATTGCACAGGCAATGGTTCTAATTTTGTCCTTCTCTCTGAGGCACAGTTTAACAGCAAGTGCTGTGGAAGACCTTTTAAAGCTCTTAAATGTCTTTCTCCCGAGTAGCAACATATTGCCAGAGTCTCTCCACCTCTTCCGAAAAATATTCCATAATCCATCCGAGTCTCTAAATGTTCACCTGTTCTGCAACATTTGCCAAACATATCTTTCAAAGAACAACATGCATTGTCCAGAGTGTAATGAGATAAACGACCCAAAAAAGAATATTGCAGAAGGCAATTTTTATATAAGTCTCTCTATCGAGGACCAGCTAAGAGACATCCTACAAAAAGATGATAGTGCATTTGAATCAGAAGAATATGGAATAAATGATGTGAGAAAGGGTGAAATGTATCAAACACTCCCTAATTTCACAGTGAATGACATCTCACTACTATGGAACTGTGATGGCATTCCAATGTTTAAATCTTCAGCTTTCTCATTGTGGCCCATCAGATGTGTAATAAATGAACTCCAACCAAATGTTCGTTTCAAAAACATGATACTCGCAGGTGTCTGGTTTGGGCGTGGTAAACCTGACATGTCCACCTACCTTAAGCAATTTGTGGATGACATTCTAAAAATCAATTCAAAAGGTCTGGAATGGAGAGACCCACATTCAAAAAGAACTGTGGTGTCTAAAGTTTTCCCTATCGTTTGCTAATGTGACGCAGTAGCCCGATGTATGCTTCAATGTATACATCAGTTCAATGGTGCATATGGATGTGGACATTGCTTAAATGAAGGGAAAACAGTGCCAAAAGGAAGAGGATATGACAGAGTCTATGCACCCACTGAGGCACAGAAAAGAACCCATGACCATGTCATTGAATGTGGGCAGAGGGCCATTGAGAATGATGTTGACCATGTGTTTGGGGTGAAGTCAGTATCACCATTAGTCCTCCTGAATCCCTCTACTGGATTTGACATTGTGAACAGCTTTCCAATTGACTACATGCACTGTGTTCTCTTGGGAGTGACAAAGCAATTCTTGGACTTGTGGTTCAATAGCAAGTACCATGACAGCCCTTGGTACATTGGGACATCACATAAGCTTGTTGATCAAAGGCTGCTTACCATCAAACCTCCATCTGATATACCAAGAATACCACGGACTGTGAAAGTTGCGCAAAGGTGGAAGGCTGCAGAATGCAGAAGCTGGCTATTATTCTACAGTGGTCCTGTTCTGTACAAGATTCTTCCAACAAAAATGTTGAAACATTGGCTCCTTCTGGTCACTGCCATTTTTTGCTTTCTGAAAGACACTGTCACAGAAAATGACTTGGCAGCAGCAACATCCAAGATCACAAAGTTTGTGCAGGAGATACCAACGATATATGGCTTGTGTCAAATGTCCTTCAATGTCCATCAACTTACTCATTTGCCCTTCTCTGTCAAGATGTATGGACCTCTTTGGTGTACATCTGCATTTTCATTTGAGGGTCACAACCAGAAACTGAAGAGGTTGTGTCATGGAACAAATTCTATCCCATCTCAAATTGCACGCCAATTCAACATACTTCAGTCAATTCCCCAACTACTTAAAGAAACAACGACTAGTGCTGATGTCTCAAATAGGGTGGCAAAACTTGTCAATGACTGGCTAGGTGTTTATCCTCTTGTTGCCAAGGCACAAAAGCTAGAAGGTCTTGTTTTGCTGGGATGTTCTCGACAAAAAATGTTAGATCACAAAGAGAAGTTCTTAATGCTCCCAGTCTGTGATCTATCTGAAAGTGATGAGTACTCTGCAGAGACATATGAGAGAGCAATTGTGAATGGACAACTGTTAACGACAGAGAAATATGGAAAAGAGTACAAACACAACAGTTTTACTGTTCAGCTACAGAATGGTTGCATTGGAAAAATTGAGTCAATTGTAAATATCATACATGATCACAAAAACAATCCGCTCATCCAAGTTCAGCTTTTACAAACCACACTTGCTGGTTTTGTGTCTGAAGGATCTCCTTCCCATATAAAAGAAGTGATGCCAACTCCAACACGTATGATTGTAAAACCCATGGAAATTGTCCGCAAAGTTGTGCACATTTGCTTGAAAAAAACATGCTATATTGCATTACAGCCAAACAGCATAGAGCTTGACTAATGCATAGGCCTAGCATTGAGATCAGCTGATGGCTGAGTATTTTTAACTGAGCTGCATGTTCCTGCAAGTGTAAATAAATCCTTTTATTGTATGGACTATAACATTCTATACAAATTGTTATATTCTTTTATTTATGAATCTATCTATAATGTATATAATTTCTGAATTGAAATGATTAAAACGATCTTGGTGTATAAATGCTTATAATATTTAATATTATATATTTAATTTTGAATGTTATATATTTAATTTATACAGTATTTAATATTTAATGATGTTCCTGAAAGTGTAAATAAATACGTTTATTGTGTCGACTATATGACATATTCTACCTAAATTGTATTTATGTTCTTTTATTTATGAATCTATCTATCTATAATGTATATAATTTCTGAATTGAAATAATTAAAATGATCTTTCTGCATAAATGTTTATAATATATAATTGTAATTACCTGGAAAAGCAGCACAATGTACAGAAATGATGTAGAATTTAAAAATATATACTACAGGACAAACTGAAATTCCATGAAAATAAATCAGAATGAAAGATTCTAAGAATCCAATAAGATCCTATAAGAATCCAGTAAGGTATATGACAAACTGAAATTCCATTAAAATAAATCAGAATGTCCAATAGGATTAGAAGACTCTAATAAGATCCTATAAGAATCCAGTAAGATCCTATATGACAAACTGAAATTCCATTAAAATAAATCAGAATGTCCAATAGGATTATAAGAATCCATTAAGATCCAATAAGAATCCAGTAAGATCCTACATGACAAACTGAAATTCCATTAAAATAAATCAGAATGTCCAATAGGATTATAAGAATCCAATAAGATCCTATTGGAATCCATTAAGATCCAATGAAATTCCAATAGGATTTTTTGACAAGGGCTACTCCCGTTCAAAGTCAATTTTTACTTAAATCATTTTATATTTGTACCGAATAACAAAGAGAACACATATGTGAGTTGTTGATTACAAAAAAAAAAAAAAAAACAATACATGACCTTATCTTAGAAAACAATGTTTATCTGAAAACTGTTTCAACCGTCGCGGCTCTCCCCATTATATTATATTACATTATATTATACTGTAATTTTATATTTATGTTCCTTTATATTTTTACAGTAAATTTTCACTGGTATATGAGTGTTATTTTGACTTGTGTATATATATTTATTTATTGTGACGGCTACTTTTTCAATCTTTTACTCATTTATTCATGCTTCTTAATGTTGTCAGTAAATAAAATATAATTAATTTAATTCATTAATGCATTAATTCATTGCTTGAATGAAAATTGAGATGTGTGTACTGCATTTATCTAGTGTGTATTCATGTATTCTACTTAAGAGCTTATTTCCACTGTGTTCTTGGCTCATTCTTTACAGGTGACAGGTGTAGGCCTGTTCCCGAGACTTGCCACCATAGCAAAGATTGTCCTGGTGTTACCCCATTCAAATGCTGATGCGGAGAGAGTGTTTTCTGTGGTGGGACTCAACAAGACAAAGACCAGGAACAGCCTTGCCCTGGATGGCACACTGTCATCAATAATGACAATAAAAATGGAAAATTTCCATTCAAAAGGACAGACAAAACAAATCACCCACATATTGTTCCAGGTGCTTTGCTGTCCAATGCAAGCATTGGAGGCAATGCTCATGAAAATTGGAGTCTTTCACAATGTCTTCCATTCTTGGTTGGACATCTTGTACCTCCAGATGAGTTAGCTTGGCAGCTCCTAATGGACCTTAAGGATATTGTTGAGTTGGTTGTGCAAACAGCAGAATCAATTGCCTTCCTTGAAAGTAAAATTTATAGGCACAGGTTGCAGGAAGTTTTTCCTGACATGAAACTTTTGCCAAAACATCACTATGTCTGACATTATCCACTACTGATCAAGTTCTTTGGACCTTTAGTAGGGATGTGGACACTCAGATTTGAGGCAAAGCATTGCTTTTTCAAGAAAGTTGTTCATCACACACATTGCTTTAAAAACATACAATGAAACATCAGTTCATGATGGCATATCACTTGGAGTCAGCCAACACTGAAAAGAGTAACATGAGTGTGTCAGTCGTCTCAACTGTTCCTGGGGGTATCTTGAATCAGGATGTAGTTAATGTTCTCAAGCAGACATATCCTGATGTTACTTGTGTTCATCTTGCAAAGAATGTGTCTGTTGATGGAATGAACTACAGGAATGGCATGATTGTTGTTTGTGGTCTTTCTGGTAGCTTGCCAGTTTTTGCTGAGATTATCCAGATGGTTGTAGTGGAAAGGAGTTTGAGTTTCATTTTGAAAGAAATGAGTGCTTGGTATTGGGAGCATTTCAGAGTTTTCGAATTGTGCCCCACGTTTCTCTCAGTCATCATAATGCCCTTGGCGACTACTACTCCTTGGCAGATTACCATGTTGGAGGCAGGTGAATGGTGACACTTAAAAGATTAATAAATGCAAGAGGTTAGGTTCAGTTTGGTTAATATACTGCTTAAAGAACGCAAAAGTGCAAAGAATTTTATGTGACAGTTTTTCCTGAATAGAGAATTTTACGGTCCAATGTCATTGTAATTCAGATAGTTTAAGTT